ACACTAGAGCGCGTTTGCTGTCGCATTTTATTTGTAGTGTGAACGAGCAGACAAAAAAAATCGGAATTGAGCATTAAGACCTGCAGTGTGAACGTAGCCTTAGTCACATGAGGACTCAGGTTAGCGACTTGGGTTTAAAAAGAGAAACAGATGCCTTCACCACATTGTTTTGAAATTGCAATTAATTTGGAGCGTTTCATCATCTACAGCACATAATATCATTATTTTAATGATATTATGTGCTGTAGATGATGAAACATTATTTTAATATCATTAAAATATGAAGAACTAAATAAATCTCTGCAGCAAGTCCCAGAACTGCATGACTGCAAGTTGAAAGTATCATGCAAAGTAAAGATAAAACATGAAAAACAAAGAGCTAGCATCTGCTCTGATATGTGCAGTGCAGTGGTAACTTACACGTATGTTAATGCTCCACTGATGCTGCATGTTACATACAGGAACATACGTTGCCATTTGTTGGTACCTACTCGAGCAGCATGTTTCGTTTAGAAAGTGCAGACACATAAATATGACTCTGAACTGTCGAGCACTTTAAATCAAACGAATAATGCAAAAACATTTTGCTTGCAAAGAGGTGAAGCAGCACAGCAGTAAATATGCTCCTGTCCCAACGATGTTGTTAAAGTGGAAACGATGGTGTTTCGTTAAATACGAGCTTCATGTGATCTGTAAACATTCTGATTCTTTTTCTATGTTTTGTGAGGGGAAACAGAGTTGTATTCATGATCTACCCACTATAAACACACACTTTTCTCTCTAGATACCATAATGAGGGAGATCTTACATCTATAAACACAAACAGGCACTAATCTCCCGTCTACTACATGAGATACCTCCTCGGCTCGTCTCCCTTTAGACAACACTTTCTGTTTCTCTTCTTTCTTCACTTCCTCTGGTTTCTTTTTCACAGCTTTGGTCTCTTCCCTTTTTTGCTCTCTCGATGTACCTTCTTCCCTTTTCAGTTTCTTTTTATCCTCTTCCTCTTCTTCCTCCTCCTCCTCTTCTTCTTCAGTTTCCTCCTCTTCTTCCTCCTCCTCTTCTTCAGCTTCCTCCTCTTCTTCCTCCTCATTTTTCATACCCTGATTGCTCTTGAGAGCTACTGATCTCTAAGCAGAAGCAATGATGAATAAGATAAATTGTTCTGCTGATAAGTGATGAGCTACTATTTGTTATTATATGAGCTACTGTGTGTTATTTGTATCACTTGTAACAACAAGTAAACACCCAGACTATAAAAATTGACTTCTTCTTCATATAATGTGTACACGGTCTTGTTCTTTGCATAATTGTGCAACACTTGAATAATAAACCATAAACAAGCTACTTCCAACAAACACACAACAGGTCTGACTACATTTTCTACAAATCACCAGACACTGCTTTGTACCTTCCCCTTTTTAAAATCCTTCTCCTCCCCTTCCTCCTCCTCTTCATCATCTTCTTCCTCTCCATACTCCTCCTCTTCATCCTCACTAAACTCAATACCTTTTTTAGTTTGAGGGAGTCGCTGTTGACGAGAGGTCCTTGATTCTCTGAGTAACATAGTAGACTGAGAGAAGAGGAGTGGTGTTAAGTCAAAGACGAATGTGTGGATCAGAGAGGATGAGCCACTGATACACGTCTGAGTCAGAGCACTGACCAAACGCTAAGGTTATGTTACAGTATGAATAAAAAGATGAGGCAGTTTTTGAAACCAAAACATCCAGAGAACCACCCAAACAGGCTGTTTGTAAT